AGGTGAAAACCGTTTCACTCCCGCCGTCTTAAATTCGAGGTCCTCCGAGAATGTCTCAGTCCAAGGCAGGACCTTTACCCTTTCTATCTCTTTCATAGGCCCTGACTATGTCAGGAGCGGTCTCTAGAAGTTCTGCTTTCGTGAACCAGCGGTCGTCTTCCGGTTCCTGATAAGCAAACCGGACCTTATACTGTTTCTGGGGACGACCTCTACCTCCTGTTCTGAATATATCCTCACCTACAATGCCGTCAATGTCATATCTTCCATCCATATCCGGAGGGATCATGGACCTTCTGGAGGGAAATTGTTGACTTGTGACACACGGCAATAACTTTGATGCGTGAAATACGGGGTAGGTGTGGAGATGCGCTGGAATCTCTACTGTATAGGACGGCCCATCCTCTCCGCCCTTAACTTCTAGAACTGGCCACGGTCCTCTATACGCAGGGAGTAACTTCTGTGAAATGTTCTCCTCAGGAGCAAACTCTTTTGACTTGACCCAGACTAAGTCGCCTACTTGAAATTGTGACGGGCGACGGTGTTTATTGGCTTGCTCTACTGGTCCTTCCTGAGGTTCTCTACAACAGTAGCTAACTCTTTCTCGTGCTGTAACTCAAACTCCCTAGTACCGGGCAGTAACCTATGAATCTGATCCCGGTTGAGTCCCTCAAACGGGATACGTGGTCTAAAGGACTTGTGTAATTCGTTGGGAGTGCGACACGTGGACAGGTGCACGCTGTTATTGTAGGCACTAGCTACCTTTGGGAACATCTCATCCCGGTTAGTTTGATCAGGTCTAATATACATTCTCAGAACTTGCTGTAGGAGCTTATTCATTTGCTCAGTCTGACCGTTAGTCTCTGGATGACGGCTAGATGACATCAGTAGCTTGGAGCCATATACTTTCATCAACTCCTGCCAATTCTGACTAGTGAACCGGGTGTCTCTATCGCTAACTATAGACAACGGAATCCCGTGTTCACTGACCCAATGATCAACGAACTTCTGAACTACTAATTTTGTACGTGCCTCCGCAGGCAATGGAACAAAAACTGCATACTTGCTAAATCTATCTACTATGACCATGACTTGGCTCTTACTATGCCTACTCTTGACGCTGGTGTCCATGAAATCGATGGACACTGAAACTCCTGGCTGGTCAGGAATAGGCAAGGGTCTGAGAAGACCTAGGGGGGCGCGCGTAGTAGTCTTATTCCTCTGACATACCTTACAACTGTGGACATACTCTATGCAGTCATTTTTCATCCCTGGCCAGGTATACGCGCGCATCAGATTGGCTAGAGTCTTCTGCCAACCGACGTGTCCCTCTGTATCGTGACATTCCCCTAAGATCAGGCTACGGATCTCTTCACTGTTGGGGACGCACAAACGGTCTACTACATCAGTTTTCTCAAATAATAAACCCTCCGTAGTGCGGTAATGTGGTTCCGTCTCTGGGGCCTCCTTTACTCTCTTAAGAAGGTCGCTATAGATAGGATCCTGCGCATATGCCTCTGTAACTTTCTGTTGCAGGTCCTTCCCTATCGCCCCAAAGTAGTCTGACCTCCTACTTAGAGCATCCGCAACTACATTGTACTTGCCCTTAACTGGCTTGAGCTCAAAGTCCTATTGGTCTATCTCGGCGGCCCACCTAGTCAACTTAGGTGTCATCTTGGCCTGCGTCTTCAGCCACCTTAACGTCTCGTGGTCTGAATAGACTTTAAAGTGCCTCCAAGCAAGTAGTGCTTCCAGTGTTCTAATGCTTGCCTGAGAGCATAGAGTTCCCTCTCGTAGGTGGATGTCGCTACCTTCTCTGAAGGCATTCTAGCAGACATGAACTCTACGGGTCTATATCCGTTGCCATCGTCTTGCTGTAGTACAACACCTATGCCATACTGACTCGCGTCAGTGGTAACAACGAAGGGTAAGGACGGATCGGCAACCTTAAGGACTGGATACTCTATTGGCAAACGCGCAGTCCTTATCCCACTTCCAGATTGTTTCTTTCCTTAGCAATTTGCGAAGGGGTGCAGCGATGGTAGAGAAGTTTCTTACAAACTTCCTATAGTAGTTCCCTAGGCCTAAGAACGATCGCAACTCTGTCAACGTGCGGGGCGTAGGCCAATTCCTAATCGCTGCGATTTTGCTATCCTCTGGCTTAATGCCGCCTCCGTCTAAGATGTGGCCTAAGTACAAAACTTGGGTCTTTGCCCACTCGCACTTCTTGGGGTTGATCTTGAAGTTAGACTCTCTCAGCTTCTCCAAGAACTGCCTCAGATGACCCTGGTGCTCTTGGAGGATCTTGCTGAAAACTCGAATATCATCTAGGCATACTACTACAAATATGTCTAACCACGGTCTAAACAAGTCGTTCATACAACGCTGAAAAGTCGCTGGTGTGTTGGTTAGTCCAAAGGGCATGACTATAAACTCGTAGTGCACATACCTAGTCCGAAATGCGGTCTTATACTGATCATCAGGATGGACCTCTATCTGATGATATCCGGACTTCAAATCTATCTTCGAAAAGTACTTGCATCCCTGCACCCAGTCTAACAAATCATCTATATGGGGCAGCGGCTCTGCATTCTTCCCAGTGATAGCATTAAGACCCCTATAGTCTATACACATCCTGAGCTCTCCCTCCTTCTTGGGGACAAATAGAACAGGTGCTCCAAATGGAGACGAACTGGGCCTAATCCAACCCTTTTCTAGGAGCTCGTCTAACTGCTTGCATAGCTCCTCCAACTCCCGCGGGGACATTCTAAACACCGCTACTTTGGGAGTTCTACTGCTAGGCTCAATCTCAATGCGATGCTAGATGGGCTGCGGTACTACCCCTGTCGGCGGCTCCGCTAAGTCCTTGAACTCCTCCAACAGCTTGGCAATAGCTGGGTCAATGGACTACTCCTCCTTAGGCTCAGTGACAGGCCTAACGTAAACTACGAAGACCTGTTCCTCTAGTTTCTCCTTTTTCACCAATCGGGTAAACGCAGGACCACTGAGTCAGCAGTGGGCCAGGGTATTATCTACACCTGACGCATGAAACAGACGGGCAGTCTTAACCTCGCCTGTCAGACTAGGGAGCCTACACTCATGCTCTCTCAGGTGGAGTGTGGCCCCTGCTGCCTCTCCCCAGTCCATACCTAGGACTATATCGAAAGGAGGGTCGTCCTGTACGAGGAGAGTCAGGGAATGGAGAACTTTCTCCACCTTCCCATCTTTCTCTAGGCAGAAATACGCCTGGACTCCCTCTACGTAGTCCTCAACTCGCATAGTGCGGTTGTCCGCGAGGACACTAACTATGGGGTCTTCCAATTTTTGGACTTTCAAGTTTAGCCTCAGCTTTTTCAGCGCTCTACGGCTAATGTAACTGCGGGTAGCCCCTGAATCTGTGAGGGCTCCTACTCTACTTCTAAATACCTCTACATCTACCAAAACTAGTTGTCCCTTACTCTCTTTCTTCATCTTGGCCCAGGCGGGCATTCTCTCCTTCAGCTCGTCAGCCACACCTGTGAGGGAGGTGCCTAAAGAGACCCTAGCACAAGCAGTCTCTGGACAACTATTTAGGCACCGGCCTGCAACCTCTGCCATAGGCTCATGTGGTGTGGGAGTATCTTGCCGTCTCACGCTCATTTCCCCACATGGCCTTATGGTAGGGGCAGTTGCAAGCCCTACCGGCGGCTGCCTTTTGCCTGTTGGGCAGCCCATCGTGCCTCTCTATACTTTGGACAATATCGAATGATGTGGCCAGGGTCACCGCAAAATACGCACTGCCCCTGATCCACACACTGTTGCCAGACGCGTTGGTCCAGGCCCAAATCCTCCCAAGGTCGGCCCTGTGGCAGACCTGGGTGCCAACCACCTCTCCTATAGGGTGACCTATTACCCCTATTAGGTGAACGGTTGCCAAAATGGTTTTGCGGGGGACCTTTGACCCCTTCCTCCCGCTTGGCGGTTTCCTCCTCTACCGCCAACCCCCTGATCGCCCTCGAAACGGCCACCTGAGGCCCGACCCCCTTGGCCCTGGCCTCCTCCTCTTCCTTGCAGCCTCCCTCCGGCCGCGCCAGCAGCATAAGTCCTCCCCTGACTATCGCTATTGTCCTCCTCCTCCAGCCCCCACTCAATCTGCTCGTAGGGGACTTCTTCCACACTACCCTCATCTAACGTAAGGAGCAGACGATCCTTAGTCTTAATCTGCCCCGAGATAGTGTGACCCTTCCACTTTTTACCCTTATCCAGGTCCTTGTGCCAGAAGGTGGATACTGACGCGGACCGTGCTTCGAACACTACCACTTCCCTGCTAAGTGCATCGTAGGTCATGGTAGGTTGCTGGCTCTTCTCAAAGAAGTGCCTGCGCAACGATTCGGGCATAGCCCAGTAGAAGAGGTTGACCAGTTGGGTCTCAGTGACCCCATGGTCAGGAACGACGACCAACTCGTCCATAACACCCTTGAGTGCCCTGGCACTCCTTCATTGACGAGAATGGATGGTTTGCAGCTTGTCTGACGCTTTGACACTACGGGTCACGTCTGCAAACCGTTCTCTCAGCAACTTAAGAAAGTCATTGAGGGGAGTGAACGCAGAATAGGCCACCAAATCATCATTACAGTTGGCGGCGCGACACAGGGAACGGGCGAAGCTTGCTGCTTCCTCCCTAAGAGCGTGAATGGCTATCAAGACATGTTCATCGGGAGCTACATTCTGCAAGTGCACATACGTTTTAACGTTGGCCTCCCAACTGTCGAAGTTCTCCTCCTTCTTCCCGCTGTAGGAATCGGGGGGCGTGCTTCTTCCCCCTTTGGTGCGGCCAACCTGGCGCCCTCTACGGTGACGGTGCAATGACGCTCCGTGTTTTCCAGGCGAGCCTTCACTTCTGAGCCCACCTGCATCACTAACTCCCTTGCAAACTCCTTGAATCCCAATCGTATCGAACGCAGGGCAATGTCCTGACTTCTAATAAACTGGTATTGCTCTTCTTGAGCCGCTGTCAAGCGTTCGATATTCCTTGCCATGATTCCCACCTTACCCAGAAGGTCCGCCTCTATTGCCATCTGATCTTTATGCTTTTTCACTTCCTCCAACTCCTTTGCCGCCTGGCTCACTACTTCCATTCTCCTTTTTCTCTCCCACATGAGCCGTAGCTTCCACTCCATCCTTGTCTCATCCTCCATGGCCTGTCGCTTGAGGGGGTCTTCTTCTGCCTCCCACTCCTTCACGACTGCCTCCTGTTCTTCCCTGGGTACATACATCAACGCCTCTTCCTCTTCTCCCAGGGATAAATTCGCAACCCACTCTGTAATCTTCTTCTCCAGTTGGTCATCTCTTGTTCCATTGGATTCCCCTCTTTGCTCCCTTCTTCTCCTTTCCAGTGGCTCTTCTTCTTCTATCTCTTCCTCCTCTTCTACCGCTTTTAACTTCTCCTCTTCTTCTTTCTTCAACCTCTCTTTCTCTCTAGCCATCTCCTCCTCCATCGTCTTCATCTTCGCCGCCTGTTCCTCCATCAAGGCCTTCTTTTTGGCCTCCTTCCTCTCTTTTCTCTCTTTTAGGATGGCTGCGGCCTTTGCCTCTTCTTCCGCGGTATAAGGGGAAGTGCTCTTTCCTGCACGCGTGTCAACCGTGGTGATCGGTGAACAACTTAGTAAAGGTTCCAGAATCCTACCCTTTGTTCCAGCCAGATTACCACGGCCGACGGAAGCTTTCGCAACCACAGTCCTTGCAATCCAGACCCAGATGCCCAACACCTGCGGTTAAACCCACCTGGCTTTCACTCCGGTTCAGACCCTGTCAACTAGGGGCACTAGCCTCGACTCTAGACTACAGCCGTCACTACAGAACCTGTTGCTGATCAGGAGGCATTTAAGGAGATCCCCCGTAACTCCTCAAGAATTCTTTAACGTCGCAGACAGGACGACGCGATCAGCAGGTTCTCTCAAGACTTAGACGGCCCGTTGTGCAGCCCACAACTCGGATTTTGGGCCTACCGTGCCACACCGAGCAGCCCGCCGGTCAGTACCGGTCCTTGGGAGGGTTCGTGTCCTCCGGGACAGTCGAGTCGTCAGACACAGTCTTTAGCCCTACTCAGCCCGTGTGGGTTTGGTCAACGAGGCCCTATCCTTCATACACGGAGTCCTATCACCTGGACAGAAGAGACTCAATGCAGAAAGAAGAGACAGACAGACTCGGACTCAGCAAGTACCATAGGGTGAGTGCACATCCATAGGGCGAGGGGATAGGCTGAGGGCTCGGCGAGATTATACCAGCTCCAGCTTGGTTAAAATCGTGGTGAGCAGCTCCGGTCAACGCCTTGGTCAATGCTTGGTCAACGTGGTCAAACCCCGGTCAACGCTCCGGTCAACCCTCTGGTCAACGCCCGATCAACCCTCTGATCGGCTATGGCTGCCGGCACCTTCTTCCTCGCCAATCTCCCTCCCCTTTTTCCTCCTTCACCCTTCTTCTTTCTCGCTGTTTCTTTTTTTTTTTTTTTTTTTACACCCCCGGCTATGTCTGTCTTCACCTTCGTTTTCCCTCCTTCCTCCTTCCTGCTTCTCTTCCCTCTCTCCTCCGTGTTCCGAGCTCTGCGGCTATGGCCGCTACTTCTTCTTGGACCGCACAACCAATCTTCAGCGCAACAGGTACACGGTAACCAATCTTGTATCGCTCAGCCCCCCTCTCTCTCTCTCTCTCTCTCTCTCTCTCTCTCTCTCTCTCTCTCTCTCTCTCTCTCTCTCTCTCTCTCTCTT